TGGTACAGCGGGTTAAAGCACAGCTGAGCCGCAGCTGTCTCAGTGCCAGTTCTATCCCTGCCCCGGAGCTGACCCACACGGCACAGCAGAACTCTTCTGACCCACCCACTGCTCCCCTCGTCACTGTACTTTGTCCATCTGCCTGTTCTGCTCCCCACTCTGTCTCTGGTGAATCCTCTCACTGCCCCTGTGCCTCTGGCCTGTACCCCAGTTCTAGATGAATAAATAAATAAATCTTCAAATATATACACACATATATAAAGATAAAATGATAAAGAAAAATGGGGGGGGGTAGAATTTAAAGCATGTGATACAGAACAGCCCTGGGAATCTGTATTGTTCCTTTGCTGTGTTATACTCATGCTAAAGAATTTTTTGCAGGTTGGGAAAGATTATGACACGCTCTCTAAGTACTCCCCAAAAGTGCCCCCTGCGCCTTCAGCCAAAGCATATACCAGCCCTTTGGTTAGTATGTTTAATAACCCAGCAGTGGTGGCACAGAATTCGGAAAAGATAAACAGTTCCTCAGGTAAGTAAGGTATTCAGTTTCATTTCCTTTCAAATATCTTTTTAGATTTTTAAGATAGAAATCATAGGTCAGTGTGTCATGAGATAAAAAGAAATGGTTGCACACACTCAGCACCGGCTTTGAGGGACACCTCAAAAAAATACAGGTCGGCGTTTATAAAAGACCGTAAGACGTCTTGTAAGTGTACATTCCTTTGGCACATCCTGAGTCTAGAGACTGACTGATGTCTACACAGAGTTAACATCCCATGGAAAGGGATTGTGTCTGGGTGTAAACGGGACGGAGTATGCAGAACCTCTCCCTGTGCTCCATACTTGGGGGCCACCGTCTAACAGTTCTTTATCTTTATTGACAAAACTATAACTAGTTTCATTATAAATTATAAAGTTGATATGAAAAAAAGGAGTTACTAATCTTACCAGTAGGCTTAATTTAAGTTAAAATCAGTATGTTTTATCATCTCTAACAGATGACTTCGTGGTCTGGAGACTTAAGTTCTGTTTACATTTCTTAATTCTGTTGACTCTATTTCAACAAATCAGGGCCAGTTATTGTTTGCAAGCATTTCAGGTGGCTCTGGTTAGGCTCCACTCTCCCCACAAAGTCTGGCACCCAGGGCCCTTGAGACCCTGCTGTCTGGGTGTGGGGTGTCTCACAGACCCCTCCAGTGCAAAGGCTGTGGCCAGCCTGCTCTGTGCTGCTCAAGAACCCAAAGATCCCAGCATTGGCGGGTTTTCGGGGAAGCAATGAGAGACCTTTGGAGTGGCCGCTGGGAAGAGGAAAGCCCCTAATGATATGCTATATAGAACTGAAATAGGCACTGCTTTGTGCAGCCCAAACATGCCAGTGGCTCTCTGAGTCTAACTAGCAAAAGAGAAATAGAAATTATCGATAAAATCCATATTACCATGGAAATTAGGAAGTGGTATGTTAAGAAAATAACAAAGTTTATATTGTAATTACTAAGAGTTTTCAAGAATAAAGCAGAAAGAGAGACTGCATCATTTTAAAGTAAGTGCCCTGTATACATTATTAGGCTCGCAAAATTTTAGTACAAAAATATATAAAAAGGGGGAATTTTTTTTTTAACTTTCTGCATAGTCTCCTTATTCCTACCATGAAATTAAGTATTAGAACCACCTTTTCCATATCATAAGCAGTGTGCCTTCTGGAAAAGCACAGGCTTTAAAGTTGAGAAACTTTGAACCCATTGTCCTTCTGCCCTCCACCCCCACCCCTTCCATAATTTTAGGCAAGTTGGGTAACTTTCTGAGCCTCAAGTCCTCTCCCAGTACCAGTGTGTGTTAAATAAATAACACCTGCCTCTCCCCCGCCCCAGGGTTGTTGTAAGAATCAAATGAGTCCGTTTATGCAAACTGCCTTTCACTGTCACTGTGAAGGATGATGTTGACATCCTCCTCTCTCCTGGGTATTGAGTAGGTGAGGTAGTTGGTTGGTAAGCTTAAGACTGTATGGAAATTGAAGGGACTTTTTTGGCTGAGGACAACAAATCATCATTATATTTATGTTTTCTAGCAGCTGCCTATAGTGATGCAATAAATATTGTTTTGCAAGAAATACTTTTATAATAAATATAAGCAAAGCTCCTATCCTCTGGGTATTCTTGATATTCCATAACCCCTCAGCATTTTCCCAGTTTTTACTAAAATAGTCTTGGGTGGGGTGGATTTAGCCTTTTGCTCCAGTCATTCTCCATTCTGATTTTTCCCTCTAGAGTGGTGCATATCACCTGCATTTGAATTGAGACTTGAACTGGCAGTGCAAGGTTTTGCATGGGGTGCAGTGTAGGCTGTGGGGTCAGGCGCTACTTCTGGGTCTCAACTCTGCCTGTTTAGCGATGTTCCCTGGCAAGTCACTGAGGGTGGTAACTGCACCCTCAGCAGCCTTGAAGTGCTGAGCTTATGGACTAGCACCCAAGGGGGCTCAGGTACTGTGAGCAGCTGGCCCAGCAGCAGACTCCTCGTCTTCTGCATTTCCATTTTTCTTCTTTTGTGGCAACAGGTGTTTGGGCAGCTTGTTTTCAATTAGTGCTTTAAACTGCCTTTGTGATGCATACTGGGAGAGCAGGGGAAGGGAAAGCTTCAGTGACTGGTGAGTGGCTTGCCCCTCTGGGCATCCTGAGTAAGTCAGAGTTGAAGCTTGGCAAACACTTATCTATCTTCCCATCTGGAAAAGACTGTATCCCAGGGACCCTCTGGGCGACTTCAGGCCCTGTCCATACAGACCAGTAAGAAGACAGGGAAGCTTGACACCCTTGGAGTTTCAGTAGAATGTGTGCTGTCAGGGTGGGTTTGGGTGGTTTCCTGGGGTTTGTGCACTTGAATCACCCTGAAGCCATCACCACTGTGTTCATTCTTTACAGATTCTTCCGGTGATCCTAGTTTACAGCGATCTGTTTCTGTTGCAACTGGACTAAACCTGATGAAAAAGCAGAAAGTGAAAACCATCTTCCCACACACCTCTGGCAATAACCAGACTTTGCTCAGCTTCGCAGAGGGAGATGTCATCACACTGCTCATCTCTGAGGAGAAGGACGGCTGGCTGTATGGAGAGCATGATGACACCAGAGTGTAAGTCTCGGAGATGGTGCCACTGCCGGTTGCCCCATCTGGCCCTTCAGAGACCTGCTGTCTCTCCCTTTAGCAACTACTTGTCTTGGTGCTAGCATTTTAGTCAAAGTTATGTATATAGTTTAGTAAACTTGAGTCACTCTGTTCCAGTCTGTCTTCCTGGAGTGTGTGCATATATAGATAAATTTGATACATGTATAGGTTAGCTCATATAAAGTCACCTCTGAAGATAGGTTTACTATATCTTTTATAAATATATGTTTTTATTTATGCATACAGAACTGGGGTGTAGGCCAGAAGGGAGGGTCCCAAGGATTCACCAGAGACAGAGTGGGGAGCAGAGCAGATGTATCTACTGAAATCCACTGCTGAGGGGAGCAGCAGACAAGACAGAAGAGTTTTCCTGTCAGGAGAGGACCCATGTGGGCCAGGTCCCTGGCCAGGGATTGAACTTGTGCTGCAGTGGCTGACAGTAGCTTGATAGTGCTGAGATTTTAGCCCCTATGCCACCAGGGAGGCCCATGTATCCATTTTTTTTATTTCAGTGTATTCTGATTCCTTGAGGGTGACCTGCACAGCAGATATGCATTCAGATTTAGCACATAAGTGACTTAAATAGCATCATCATCATTTCAACCATGAGAATCTGCTCAGGCCTTACTGTAGGTTAAATCTGTCCTCTTGTGTGGGTTATTCAGGTATTAAGTAAAACCAATATGGGAAAAATGACAAAAAGTGGGAATCCAAGTGAAGTTAATGCTATATGTAAAATGCACACTGTGCCATGATGTGAAGCTTGACCAGTACCCGAGTTGCCACTGAATTGCTTCTTAGCATGCTGACTGCTCCCTTGTCTGCCCCTGAGACCACAGCAAGGTTTTGTTTTTTCACTTGTCCACCTGCAGGAGGGGCTGGTTCCCATCATCCTATACCAAATTGCTGGAAGAAAATGCAAAGGAGACTGTGAGTGTGCCCAAGCCAAGGTAGGACTTGACTATGGCTCAGATCCTCGGGGATTGAAATCTCGCCTTTGACATAGTATTTTCAGAAGTGCCAGAATTCTATCCAGTGTGTAGTAAAAACACCCTCAGAACTTGCAGCGAGTGCCCCCCACAGGGGTTTCCTTCATTTCTGTTGTCGGCAGGCTTTACATACTGACTGTTGGGAAGGGGGGTACCCCTCCTGAAGCCTCTGGAGTGCTCACTGTCTCACACCACCTTCTGGGTGCTAAATCCAGGGCCTGGTTTCCAGCTAGACCACACTTAGCAGCCACTAACGTACTTCTTCGGAAATCTGCTCTTGCCTTGGCTTCTTTGCACTCTAATTTCCTTCTGCTCCACCAGCAGCCCTTCCCAGTCTCTTTGCGCCCTCTCTTCTGCCCAGTACTTAAACATAGGTGTTCCACAGGATCCCTCCTCAGCCCTATTTCGTTTTCCATACTTCCCGGGCCATCTTGCCTCCCCAAGTGAGTGGGACTACGCTGGTGGGTTCAGTTACCTCCTCTGTGCCAGTAACCCCCAAATATGTGCTACACTCCAAGTTATCTTCATCACTTAAAAATTGTCCAGAAGGCTTTATGCTGATCAGTCCACTTGACACTCACAACCTTTAGAACTGTGGAGGAAAACTAAAGTGGAGGAAACTGAAGCACAGAAGTATTTAATGACTTGCTCGGGACACACAGCTAAAAGTGGGGGAGCCAAGACCAGAAGGCAGGAGAGGCACCGTCCTAGGCTGCAGCCTGCCTATATGTTGGGCAGTGTTACTTGGCTGTCTTGTGGGGCCTCGGGAATGACATGTCCAAACTGAATTTATCCACAGCGTCCCTCGTGCCAAAAAATCCCATCTCACGCAGCTGTCCCCACAGCACTTGACCACCGCAGTGACACCTCCCAGGTCCTCCCCTCGGGCTTGCTCAGTGTCACCTGCGTATTCTCATCCCTAGCTGAGTACTTAAGCTGCCACAGTGCCAAGAAAGAAAACTAAGCATTTTTAGGATGTTAAAATCGTGGGTTATTTTTTAAACTAAAGTGCTTGATAGCTTTTACCAAGACTTTCCTGTTCTTACTGATCCCCTTGAATGAATGAAAGGCCAGCCCTAATTAAGCTCATTTTCCTCTCCTTTTGTCCTGCCTTCTAATTGCTGGAATGTACCTTTGAGTGTGCATGTGTGTTGGGCTGTGATCTTCTCCCTACCCTTTTTGATCATCCCTTGAGGCCATTCTCGCTGTAGGATATTTAGGATGTTTGGGATTCCAGTGGCAGGATCTTATCTGACTCTATTCTCCTGCTTCGGTTGCCAGCCCAGCACCCGTGAGAAGCATCAGCACAGTGGACTTATCTGAGAAGAGCAGTGTTGTCATCCCCCCTCCAGATTACTTGGAATGTTTGTCCTCAGAAGCAGCTGCAGATAAGAGAGGCGATGCTTCCAAAAGTGCTTCTACCTTTAAAGCGCCGGCGTCCAAGCCAGAAACCACGTCTCCCGTGAGTAAAGCTGCAGTGTCATGACCTGTGTCCACATCCCGCGGTGGCCTCTGGAGGAGGGCTGCATGCCCACCGCCTCCGGAGCCGTGGTCCTTGTTGGGTGGGACACCTGCTCCCGGTGCCCTGCGTCCCCTGCTTTGTCAGGCCACCTTTCAACGTCTTAACTTCATTCCTTCTTTTGTCTTTATTTTATCTTGTCAATGATCACTTACACACATAAGCCCATGGCTTGCCAGATTTTGTCAGGTTCACTCGCTCCCTACTTTCTGTTCATGACTAGATTTTTAGTCAATCCTTGTGGTCTGCATCTTCTTCCATTTTCATATTTCCTGAAAGTTAAAAGTGGTAACTTCATCTTTACCTCTTCAGCAAATGTTGGCTTTGTACCAAATGCCATGTAAATGCTACACAGCACATTCTCTGTAACCCTACATGTCCCAGTCAGAAACGGAGGAGGAGGGAAGGTCACCCCCTCGTTCCTGCAGTCACTGTGTGTGCTAGAGAGGAGCCAGACTCTGCATAGGCACTCTGCTCCTGGCTTGTTAGAATTTACATTCCAGCGATAGGGAGGAGATAATAAGAAATAAACAAACACAGCCACAAAGAAAGTTATGCAGAGAACTAAGACAGGTGAGATGGTAGAGGGAGTGACGGCCAGCCCAGTGGCACTAGGTGGGTTTCCTGGGGAAGGACCCTGAGGTCCGCGTGCGGGGTGCCTACCAGGGACGCCCTACCCTGGCCTGTGAGAGCGAAAGGGAGACAGCAGCTGGGCCAGGGCAGACTTTGGACTGGGCCGCCGCCTCTGCTGCTCCAGAGCCCTGTGCCTGGCACGGCCCTTGGGCCTCTCTGGGTTTGGGAGGGAAGCCAGCCTTCATGTACCAATGTCCAGGGTGAGGTCTTCAGCCTGGGAGAGTCCTGAGGAACACTAACACCCGGGGCCACCCGCCAGCAGCACCCCGCCCCCAGATAGTGTAGGAGCCTATGGCAGTGTCCACAGCAGAGGACACCCCTGAGGAGGTGGCATCTAGGTGAGGCCCATGACAAGGGGCCCACCGTGCACAGGTCAAGGGAAGGAGCCTCCCAGACAGGGCAAAGCTGAAACCCCAGGAGGCAGCTGTCTGGCAAGCTGAAGGACTACAGGAGGAAGGGATGGCTCTAGAGCAGAGTCCGGGAGTCCTGTGTTTATGTTTTTCTTCGATATAGAGTTCACCATAGAGAAGAAGCAAATGACGATGATTTGGTAAACAAGAAGCACTACGGGATGGCCTGCCGGGCCAGGAGCAGGGATGTGTGTCCACTGCAGCAAGGCAGGAGGGCCTGGGCCTGGGCACCGCTGGGCCGGGAGGTCCTGCTTGATGACATCCTTTGTCTGTGGCAAAGAGCACCAGGTGGTAGAGCAGGTGTCTTGAAGAGTGAGAACATGAGCCTGTCACGGATAGTGCAGGAATAGAGTGGCGGCCCTTTTTGACTCTGGCTGTGATTGAGAATGAAAGTGGCCTGTGTGGGGCTTCTTCAGCAGCATGTCACTGTGTGGACTCATAGGGAGAAGCTAATTAAAGTTGAGAGTTAGTGGAGAGATGGTGCTGAAAGGTGGGGGGAGAGTTTGAAGGCTCCTGTGACGATGGGGTTGGTGTCCCAGGCTGAGAGGGGAAGGAAGTGGGATGCGAATGGGTGAAGGGCAGAGGGAAAGGAGCCCGCAGGTGCATGGGGCCCTGCAAGGCCACAGGGCTGCCAGAATACAAAGGGAAGAAACCTGGAGGGCAGAGCCAGTGGTGGGTGGGACTGTGGGAGGCTGTGCAGGGAGCTCAGGGCCCAAGGTTGCACCGAAGCTGCCTGCCTCCCCCACCCACCCCCAAGCATCACCCAGGGCGCCGTTCGTATCAGCTTGTGGTTCACTGATAAGGCCAGATCACTCTCCCTGTTTTTTGACTTTGAGGCCTCCTGTGGCCCTCTCTGTAAATTAGTGTTTGGAGGCCCTCTCCCCACTCCAAATTCCTGACTCCAAAAATTGTCTTCAAAACAATGACACGACTACTAAAACTGGAGTTTTCCATTCCGCTGACATGGAGGTAGCAATAGATAGCAAGAAAATGCTTGGAAGGGTAAAGACATCAAATGCTGTTTCATTAAAGGGCCGGAAACATTTTAAGACAATATTCCTATTATTTGGAGCTGACCTTAAGGTATTCTCGCAGTATAAAAATCCCTTTGCTTTAAAGAAAACTGCTTTTACGACTGCATGTGCTCAAAGCTCAGTCTCAGGCAGGCAACTGCGTTGCTCAGGTGTGAGCACCTCTTTGTTGATAGTGCCCTTCCCTGCCCTTGTTTGATTTTCAACTTTCCATGAAAAAAAAATCAGACATACATAAAATGTAATGAATAATAATTACCAGGATCCTCCACCCCCAGCTTGAATAATTATCAATTAATGAACCAACCTTGAGGCCTCTCTCCTGTACCCACTCCCATGTCAACTGGAAGCTAACTATAAGCTTTATGTCACTTGTAAATATCTAAAAATGTCTTTTTTTTTTTAACATAACCACTATACTACTTATAGTTCTAAAAATTGATAATTCCGGGTATCATGTTTCTGTCTCAGTAAGAATGTGCTGATACTGTGGTTGGAATCTGCATCCCAAGCGTCCCATAGCCTGAGTGTCACTGAGTGGCCCCAGGTGTCTTGTATCTACAGGGAACTTGTAACTTATCTGTGGAAGCAGCAGCTGTGTGCTGCAGTGGTGTCCCCATCTGGGCTCCCCCTGCCCTCGCTGCGCCTGGCCTTGCCGGCATCTCGGTTGCTTGTTCGCTGGCGTGTTCCCTCCCTGGTGGAGGCTGGCCCGGGGGAGGCAAGGTGCCCGCCCGCTTCCGCACCGTGGCAGCTGAGGCGGCAGCACGGCTAGGTGAGGCTGGCCCCGCCCTGATGGCAGCCAGGCTCCCTGTCCGCGCCTTGTAGGCCGGAGGCTTTCGGAAAAGGCTCATTTTCGCAGCCTTCAGTCTTTTGGCTTCATATAAGAACATTTAAAGGCCCAAATAGCTACTGAAATTGCCCTCCTACTTGGTTTCTGATGGTGACTTCATTAATTTGCAAATGTTAAAATAAGGAATGTTAACTAATTCCATTCTTAATTATTGGACTCCCAAAAAGGCATGTTCATGACCTCAAACAGGCCTGAGGTCTGTATCCACAGTGAGGTCCCACCGTAACCTGGCGACCTCATTGAGACTGAGGCTCAACAGCACCAGGCTACTGTCACCACCTACACTTCTCTTTCAGTCAGACACGTGAAGGGGTCCGTGGGCCATGGTGAGAGCTCCTCACTGGAGTTCATTTGCTGAGCATTCATCAGACTCATAGCCCAGGCCCTGCACTCAGCCCTGGGCACACAAATAGGGGTAAGACACACACACACACACACACACACACACACACACACCCACGGCGTTGAGTCCAGGGAACAGGTGTTTATTGGGGCTGTATAAAAAGGTGTGTGAGGTGACAGGGGAGGAGACAGGCTCCTGGGAGCAACAGCAGAAACATGTTGGGGGCAAACATTTGGCTAGGCTCTGAAGGAGGACCTCCAGTGAAACACAGCGCCCACCGGCCAGCACGGGAGCTGCGGTGGCCAAGTGTGGGGTTGGGGCAGCAGTCAGAGCAGCGGGGACACAGACAAGCCAGAGTAAAGCATGCCGAGGCAGGGTGTCTGGGCGCACACCGGCCCCTCCCATACGGTACCCAGGAGGAAAAGTGGGGACCCTGTTCCTTGGAGATGGGATGGCAGGAGTGATTTAGAGTGAGAATCGGCAGAGCTAGTGACATCTGGTGTAGCCTGCAGGGTAAACTGCTGTACTGCCCACACTGGAGCAGGCCTGGTTTACTTGTGTTTACATATTTTGGTGCTTTTTTGTGTTTGGGGGTAATCCATGTAATTTTGAGCTCCAGATCTTTAACATGCCAACATTAACAGGAAAACCACTTTATCACAAATGTCACAAAATGTTATTTTTTTTTTTTCTTTTTCAGACTTATTTATTCATGCATATAGAACTGGTGTACAGGCCAAAGGTGCAGGGGCAGTGAGAGGCTTCACCAGAGACAGAGTGGGGCACAGAATAGGCAGAGTGATAGAATATACTGCTGAGGGGAGACATGAGAGGTCTGCTGCGCCGTGTGGGTCAGCTCCAGGGCGGGGATCAGACTGGCACTGAAGCGGCTGTGGCCAGCTTGCAGTGCTGCGTCCTAACCTGTTGTGCCACCAGGGAGGGCCACGTTACACCTGTAACTAGTGAAAAATCTGATTGTCTTAAAGGTTCTGAGTAGTTAAAGACAAATAGGAAGGTGTAACTCACATTAAGTGATCGTATCCATAAAAGACAAGCTTACTTTTGGGTTTTTTAAGCACCTACAGTTTGAGACTCCCCCATTTTCACTTTTGATTCAAATCGATTATGGTTAACCTAAAAAAAAAAAAGTTGTCTTTCATGGGGGTATTTATATATTTTGTGATTTGACACAGAAAGTAATGACTTCATGGTGAAAATTTTGTCTAAAGTTTTAAAAATAATAAATTGCTCCTACTCTTGAGATAGATATAAAGATGCACACTTGAATTAACATTTATCAATTCCCAGCTACTTTAAAAATGTGTATTTTAGTATTTTTCACCTTGAATGCTGGTGTTTGCTGGGTAACCTAGACATATGCTGAGGTAAGGGTGCCTTGGCAAGCTCTGGGTTTTGGTGCAAGAGCAAAGTTCAAATTTGGGGAGGATCCCTTGGTAAAAATTTAAACTTCTAACCATGCCATTTTCTTTAAATTCTCCCTTTTAAAATAATACTTTTTCCTCTGTAGCAAAATAACCCAAGGAATTTTTATTTTTGATAGGAAATTTGGAAAACAAAATACAAGAAAATTTAAATTACAGGTTCACTTCCAAGATAAGTACCCTTAACATTTATGTCCTTTGAGAGCCTTATAATAAGTAAATGTATTTAAATAT